TGATGCCAATGATCTTGCAATTGTATATGGAATTGGGACCAATATTGATTTTATATCTATAATACGAACTAATCTTCACATTTTTTCTATCTCAAACTTCATTTGTATCTTTTGTCTTTAGATAGTGTACTAAGAGCCATTGAATTTTGACCATTTTGTAGTAGTAAGGCTATTGGTGGCTATGCTCATGAAAAATGATATACTATTTTTTTGGTGTTTGTAGAGATCATTTTCAATATAATATTTCTTGTACTAAAAATTACCTTTCTTTTACAATATTTCTTCAAGTATTTGTTTGACTTATTATTGCTTTGATATAATATAAGAGTTAAGTAATTTTAAGAATATATTCATAAAACTTATTAACTTTATGTGAGGTACAAAAAATGTATTACCAAAGAAGTTGCAACATAAGAAGAATCGTGTTTCTTTGGCAAGTATAATTGTAGCAAAAAAAGATGACTTTTACAAGAATATTAATTTTGTGCTATTAATTCAATTTATTATAATTCTTCTCCTATAAAAAAACTGATTTTAAAATTTGGCTTTGTAATTTATTTATTTATTTATTTATTTTTACTTAAAAAAGCTTTCTACTAAATTTTTTGGTTGTAGTCTCTTGTATTCCAAGTTTCTCACTTTGTGTATTATTTTTGTTCTTTTTCTGACTTATTTGTTACTTGTAGTTGATTTCTAAGGCTAAGTAAGTCTTTTTGTTTTTTTTAATCATGGTTTTAACTTGATTTTGTTGTTGTTATATATTAGTATCAGCTGGCTAGATCTAATTAGTCTTATTGTATGTATAACAATAAACATAGTCAAGAACATCACTTGGTGTTAATCAATTTGTTACTAAGAAGCAATGGTTTTGTCTTCAATTAGTAATTGAATTGGTGAATCAAGGTGAATTTTTTACAGCAAAAGACTCTTTGTATCACCTTTCTAATGAAATAAAAATCATTTAAATTAGAATCAAGATAAATTATTAACAAAAAGTAGAAAATAGAGTGGTTCACTACTTGGATAATTGGATTATGCAATTTGAAAAGAACATTGGTTAATAATCAAGCAAATAAATTGTAATAAGAATTTGTAAAATAAAAGTAATGTAATATTTGGAGTTGTAAGAAGCTAAAGATTGGTGTAAGTTGGACTATGAGGAAAATATAAAATAAGAAAAAAACTTCAACAAAGAAAGAAAAAATATTTTAAAAGGGCTTTGAAGGCAAGACCACTCTAAATGTTTTTGCTTTGTTATTCACCCTATTCACAATGCTTCATTTAGGTTTTACTTACATGCTCTAGTTACATGATAATCATATTAATATTAACATTGATCATTTATTGATGTTTATATGTATAAACTTAAGTATAACCTTATTTATTTATGCTTGAGAAGAGGTTTTGAATGGTGGTTTTCTTTATTCAATTTAAATTATTTTTTTCAGCCTATATCAGAAATGGTGTGGAGTTTTTTCTTACTTTTTTAAACATATGGACCATATATTGTTAGTATTTAAAAGATATACAATTGTGTGGAATTAATTAAAAATATAAATTGAATATTAAAATTTAAGAATTTATGTTTTTATGCAATTTTTTTTATCAATTTTATGCTTAAATATTGTACATAAAAGATTATAAGAAGATATGCTAAAAAATATAAAAATCATATTATAATAATTTTCATATTAATGGATATGATATTTTTCATACATGAATGAATATAATTATATTAATTTATTAAAAAATATAGAGCTATCACTAATTATGGATTTTAAAAAATTAAAATTTGAAGAAATTCAAAATAAAAAAGAAGATCCGTTTAATACAAAATAATGCCAAAACTTGTTGATAAGCTTAAAGAATTGATGAAAAGAAGGCAAAGGCATTGTTGAATCAAATGCTTATAATTTGCAACATATAATAAAAGATTTATATCAAATTATTGCTATATCAAAAATGGTATTAAATAATTGTTTGAAAAATTGGCAAGAGATTTTATTGCAATAAAGAATAAATAAAGAGATATTTAAAAAAATACTCTCAAAATTAAAGTAATTTTTTGAAATGACTCATAATTTTTTGACAAAAAAAAAATGTATAGAAGTTTGGAGTATTCAAAAGTTAACCAATGTAATCTATGTAATTCAAAAGAAATCAAGTAAGATAATAACCAATTGTATAAAAGGTTGTGTGTCAAAACAAAAGATATTTTATATGATTCAAATGACTTTAAGTTTGTAAATCACATACTACAATGGCAAAGTTATATCTACTAACTTAAAAGTATTGCATCAGAAACCATACAATTTTTTTCAAATTTTTTTAATCCAACTTATAAGACAAATTCTAAACTTTTGAAGAACAATACAATAGTAGAAGAATTTTAGACAATATGGTTGGATTTCAAAAGTGTCACTAAAATCTTATTGTTTAATAGTCATAATCCAATTATCATTATTTATAAATATATATATATATATATATATATCTTGTTAAGATTCAAATCATCCGAATATCATCAAGGTGTTATATAATGATTGGTATTTGAAACATATAGAGATAGAAACTTTTATATTGGCATAGAAAAAGATAATAGAATCCTTGTACAATTGTTATTTGATGAAAAATCCTCACATATGATACTTTTAAACAAATTTAATCCTATTATACAAATTTTTGGTGGAATGAACTATCTCTATGACATAAGGGTGGCTCATTGAAATATATAGCCATATAATATTGGAATTATGAACTTTAGAGATAAAAACATGCGGTTGTATTTGTGTAAAGTTAATTAATTTTGGATATCTGAACTTAAAATAAATAGTTATGAAGTTTCAACAAGAAGTCGAATAATAAATCTTTTATAAAATATGATCCATTCAAAGCTAATGTATTTAGCTTTTGAATAGTTTTTTGTAAAAATTACACAAAATAGAGACAACTTTGATAATACAGATACTTCAAGAAATATTATATGTATAATGTAAAGCATACAAAATTTTAAAAAAAAAAAAAAAAAAAAAAAAAGGTGACTCAAGACTTGCATCAATAATTGGAGACTATTTGATTATTGAAGAGCTAATAAAAAGACCTTCATTTGCAAAAAAATTGCAATAGCTTGATAGAAGCAAAATAATATTTTTTTTAAAAATCTCCTGATATAAAATATAATAAACACATTGAATTTCTATACTTTGATATGACTGCTTCATTGAGCTACATAAAATTTAGAAATCATATAATGAAGATGTGAGAGCCAAAGATCTTTTAGAAAAAATAAATAAATTTATTAGCATAACATCTTTAAAAGAAAAGTCATTGTTTGATATTCAACAATATTTTAGATATCAAGATTTTGCATCAATTGGTAAATATTTCTATGTTTAACATAGAATGAAGCCAAAGAATAGCTACTAATAATAAATAGAGTATTCTCAAACGCCTTATAAATAAATAAAAAAAAAAGAGAGAGAGAAGTGAAATTACTTCCAATAAATTAGAGCTAAGCTATAGAAGTATTTTTTATACATGCTTTTGAAGGTGGATATTGCAATATACTATATTTAATCAAAGTATTTCTAGAGGTGGTGAAAGCTTGTACATAAAATCTTTTGGATTTAAAAATTATAATATCTTCTTTGAAAAGACAAAAAAAAACTTTGCGTTTGAGAGTAAGCTTTGCAAAGACTAAGGAGGAATTTAATATTCTATAACTTAAATAATATTTAGAAAAGACTACATCCTAACTTTATAATAATAAAAATATAGTTTTTTTAACCTAAATGATGATAAAAATATGATTTTTTTAATATAATTTTTTTTTTATATAAATATGTGTGGTTAGAAAATATTAAAAATGATATAATCATCTACTTTTACACATATGAAATTGATAATTATGACAATGTTATTACAAGCCTCAAAATTAAATTATTTATCAAAACAAATAAATTTAGAACCATAAGTATTCATGACTTGCTATGTGATATGGATTACTAAATTACAAACAAGATTTTGATAGAATTAAAAGATGAAAAGAAAGTAGTAAATTATTTGTCAATATTATGCAACAAGTATGATATAAAATCTATTGGACTATATAGAATCATATTTTGTGCATTGTAATTTAATATTATTTATAGATTTTATATTTTTTAAGAACTGATTAATTTTGAAATAATACTTTTTAAAGCAATAACTTAAAATTCTATATTATATTACAAACTATTACTAATAAAAAGGACGTTTATTTAATAAACTATAGATACCATTCAAAATGCAACAATAGTTTAAAGGTTATGTTATCTCATTTTTTTTCCAATTGAGTTGTATGAAGTGTATTAACATGGACATATTAAGTCCATATGTTGAGCATTTTAATAAATTTCAGTGGTTTAAGGTTTTAATTTAGTAAATTAGGTAATATAATGATTGCACAAAATAACGTGAAAATATTCTCAAATATCATGCATTATATAGATATATATATATATATATATATATTACATTGAAGTTGATTGGATGTGTATTTTGAAGATCATTTCCTATTGCAAAATATGATATGAATTATTTAAAAACTTTGATTTTGAAAAGTTATTCAAATTTTGAGAAGCTAGATATTTTTCTAAAAAACACTTGACATACCCTTACAACTATGCAAGCTATGAATGTTAGAGATATTGAGTTCTATAAATTGCAAAAAAATGAAGATTAGATATCCTACCTTCAGTGCATTCATATCATTGGTGGAATTGAACATGAGTAAATCAAAGCAATTGGACGTAGTACAAATAGCAATTGATTGTTTTATATTTCTAAAAGATATCTCATTTCATAATTCGATCATCTTAAAGAAAATAGATACAATATTTGGTGGTATGAAGAATTAATAAAAAACATAGTTTTAAATTGTGTTAATTTGGTTGATATGCCATAGAAAAAAAAAGTTATTAAAGTATTTGAGTTTTTAAAATTATTAAAAAATAAAGATTAGAAGTGATGCTTTTATTATATTCAAATATTGTTGACTTACTTGAACATGAGTTGTTCTGAAAAATTAAAGGTGGTAACTAAAAAAATTAATATCTTAAAATTGTTATGATGTATCTAATTTAATAACTAAATTATTATTTTAACTTGAAGAAAATATATGCAACATTTGATGGCATAAAGAGTTGAAAATCAATTATGGTTTAATAATTATGAAAATATCGTATACATACTCTTGGAACTAAGCTAGCTATCAAAGTTAGAGACATTGATTACAATTTTATTTGTAACATGTAATCAAAAACACCAATAGAATCACATCAAATAATAAACCTTTTGGCAGCTTGTAATGAATTTTCTAATCTAGCATGAGATTGTAAAAGGAAATTATTTTGTTCTTGCAAATATAGAGAATCCTGCTTAAAAAATTTAAGAAAATAAACAAATAATGTTATGATTAATCAAAAGTCTATTGCATACACAAAGAAGTTAAATTTTAGAGAAAACCTGAATCTAGTTCTGACTGTATTAATAATGCAATATTCAAGAATAATATATATATATATATATATATATATTAATGAAAAAAGTTAGAATTTTAAATATATATATATATATATATATATATGTATTAATGAAAAAAGTTAGAATGTTAAATATATATATATATATATATATATATATATACCATTTTCTATGTACATATACGTTCTTCTAATTCGTATATTTAAAAAAACAAGAAGGTTTACCTTGTCATGTCTATATTTACAATACAAATACTGGTTTGAATCCATACATAACAGTGGGCTCTTTGATACATTTCTTCCATGTACTTTTTCATCACATGTTTTATAATTGCAACTGTTCTACAAAAAACAGTATGAATGGATACATGAAATGCACGGTTACATTACAATTCATTTAATATTGAAGAATGTTTTTCGTGCTAATTTATTCAAACTTCTCCATTTTATTAATTCATTTTGGACGCATTTATAGGCTTTTATAAACAAAAATCAATACAAAACGTAAATTATATTCATAATATCAAAAACAAATCAGTAAATATTGATCCTATTACCAACAAGAATAATATATATTTCTATTTTTATATCTGTTTTCTTGGGGGGGGGGAGTACAATATTCTTAAATCTCATATCAAAAGCACACATGAATATATTTATCTTAATAGGATGATGTTAGAATAATGATGTTAAATTCATTTAGAATGTGGTGCATACGATCATTCTTTCTTCTGATTTTTATATATTTTTAATATTTTCTTTCAAGTATTAAAATTTACATGTATTTAAACTCAATATTTTTGAATCACTAGATTTTGAGTAAAAGTCGATGCCTTTGCAATGCTGATTTACTATTTTGTAGGTCTTGATAGTGTTCTTGTGCTTCTAGTAGTTCAATAAATGCCCTTTGAATCTTTATATTGATAACCATATTTCCAAAATGAAATCAAACACAACACACTAGAAAATATAAACTTTCAACATCACATACAAAGATGGATGATCTATTGTGCTCAAATCCATCCACATACAATTTCATATAAGAAAAAAATGATTATGCCCTATAATCTAAATTTACTAATGTAATCAGTGCACCAAAATTTAGAAATATCAAATGTATGGTATACATATATAATTTAATTATTTTTACTTTCATTGAATTAAACAAAATATGGAATAATAGCATGAAGGGTGTTACAACCACTCTGCTACCTTGGGGTGCTTTGGGGCAGTGTGAACGCAACCTTGCTGGACATGGTTTTGAGAAACGTGGAGGTGCTGCCACCCAACAGCTCGGTGAAGCAGCTGCTCAGTCTGAGGTCAAAACAATTTAGGGTTTAGAAAACCCACATAATATTACACTTTGTAAGAGTTTAGGGTTTAGAGAACACATAAAATGAACGTTTTACAAGGTTTAGGGTTTAGAGAATCCATAGACTATTCTACTTTGCAAGGTTTTAAGTTTAGGGTTCTAACAACCTACATAATAGCATGCTTTGTAAGGTTTAGGATTTAGATAACCCACAAAATAGTACACTTTATAAAAGTCAGCGTTTAGGATTTGGAGAGCCTTCAAAATAGTGTGCTTTATAAGGTTTAGAGTTTAGAAATCCTACATAATATTACACTTTATAAAATTTTTGATTTAAGATTTAGAAAACCCACACAATAGCATGCTTTATAAGGTTTAAGATTTACACATTTAGAAACCCACAGAATAGCATGCTTAATAAGGTTTAGGGTTCAGAGTATGCATTAACTAGAATAAACCATCTTCTATAACATTCAGAGTGTGAAAATTCCAAATAATATCATCATCCTTACAATATAAGGTTTAAGTAACCCACAAAAAAAAAAAAAAAAAAAAAAAAAAAAAACACCCTCATCAGGGTTCAGATAACACACAAGGGCATCTTTTTTTAGGGTTTGGGAAGATCCACTATACAAGAGCACTCTATTCTCAATATCATTTTACTATAAATTAGAAATTAGGATTTGGAGATCAAGTTTGTTTGTTCCTTTCATTACATTTTTTATTTTATTTTCTTCTCATGTTGTGTGTGCATTGTTTTGTTTAGTTTAGTTTTGACATGGCACCTGAAGCTGAAAGACATGAAGCATGGCTGCATCTCGTTGAAGCTCGAGGTCCGCGACAAAGCCTTGGATGTCCATGGCAATGCTTGAGGCCATGGCCCTCGCCCTCTCCACCTCTTCCCTTTGCTTCTTATCCTCCATCATTTGTTGTATACATTTTAGCTCTTGTGTCTCCTACACCCCATAAAGTGAAATTTAATGATACTATATATATGAAAAATAAAATAAACACCAATAATTCATTTACATTGGTAGGCATAAAGTCAAACAAAACATTTTTCTTACACACTTTAGGTTGAAAAGCTTTTCAACTTCATTGAAGAGGAAACAATAGTTTATTTATATGAGTCATGTAGTGTATACAATTGGGGATTGGAAATGGCTTTGTTGATGAAGGAGTCCTATTTTCACCTCATGTATAAATGATTCCAATGTACCTGAAATTCTTTCCAACTATAGTGCTTTCTTTGGTTGATAATTATTATGTGATTTTTGATGCATGTTAAATAATAGTGAAGGTATTATGAGTTATTTTTGAAAACACAACACAAAATTAATAATAATAGAGGATAAAAAAAAATACATGACATTAAAGATACCAGTTTTTTATTCTCAATTGTTTGATGCTTGTCATAGTTCATAATGGATCGATGCTCAAGCATTACTTCACCCATTAATTTATTCCATGCTCTTTTATTCTTTGCATACACTTGTTTCTTAGATTTTTGTATGTTTTTGAATTCTTTGAATTTTTTGGACCAATAATTGGCACTTGCAGCTAACTTTTTCAAAACGTCTACAATGAGCATCTGATTTTTGTAGGATTATTTTTAGTGCAATCAAAATACCCATAAATTTACTCTTTAGATGTGGCAAGTGTTTCAGATTTTTAACTTAACTTAACTCAACTTATTTCATTTTGTTCTAAAATTTTTAAAAAATAATAATAATAATAATAATAATAATATATTTATTTGCATATTACACATCAAAATAAATTTCAGATAATTTTTGAAGTAACATCAATGATATTATTTAATATGCATTAATATACCTCTTTGTTTGAATTTTTTTCCTTTTCATTCGATTTTGCTAGGTACGAATTGTTGATAATTTCGATCTAAAAGACATGTACATGAAAAAATATTTACAAAATATTATAAAATATCATATTTATTTATTTTCATTTAACTTAAAATGTTTATTAAAATACATGAATTGTATTTCATATTTTTATATAAACTTATTTACAACATGAAAGTAACTCCAAGTAACACAGCCCAACTTCTACAAAGACAAGAGTACTGTTAATTTACGTGGTAAAACAATTATGAAAATTTCAAAATTAAAATTAAAACTCACACTTAAACTTTAACAGAAATCAGACATTAGATGTGAACTTTTACATGTTCAAAATCGATTTCATGCTTACTTCTTTTGTATGAATATTTTGGAGTGACTTAAAATGTTCTCTTAAACCCTTTGAATTCTCTTTGTTCAATTGTACATCCAGTTGAATTTGTGAAGCCAAGTGTTGTGATCTTTCTTTGAGAATCCCATACTCTTTAATCAACTTCTCTTCAATTTTAGTTCCAACATCAGCATTTTGTTTTTCAAGTTGTAAACAAATTCTTCCGAAACTCAGAACCTAACAAAACAATCAATCGCTATCACTAGCAAAACATTTATGCAATAATCAACCAATACCATGTATTGATTGAATATATTATATATCATTAAAATAAAAGATTACAGTTATCAACATTCTAAACTAATGCATGAATGGATTGTTGAGTGGAATATAAAACAGTACCTCAATTTTCAGTTTTTTATTTTCTTGCTTGACCATTTCAAGCTCCTTTAGTTTTTCATTGTGTTCATCTTTTTGATATTTTGGTTTTATTATGGATTTGAAAGATTCAACTACAGAGTTTGTGGTCTTGTTTGTTGAAAACTCTTCAACATTGTGCTTCTCATTGAATTGTGTTGCAAAATCATCTTGCGTGTTTTTAATGCATGCTATGCATTCATTTTTTGAATTAACTTCATCATTTTTTTCTCTAAACTTTTTTGATTCAAAGGTAAAGATTTAATATCTATTTCATATCTATTTCGTAGTATTTCTGTAAATAAAATAAAATATTACATCACCTAGCAAATTAACAACCAGATGCCAGCAATTCATGAAATTACGATAAAATTATGCAAGAGTCTGTGATGTTATCATTCTGAGCTTAGCAGGGTTACTTGTTGATATGCATCTATCAAATCTCAAGGTCGTTAAAGCATGAATTTGTGTAGAACTCTATTTCTAATACTCCATTTACCAAAAACAAATTATAACTCTGAAACATCCATTACAAAAATTATTATGAAATACACCACAAGCAGGAAGAGAAAAGGGAGGTACCTTGCAAATTAAATCTGTTCTCTCTCCTTCACATGAGAAACTTTTGTGCTTGTGCTGATCAAATGTATTCAAATTTAGGTCTTTTTTGGAATCGTCATCTTCCAAGAGTATCCCTAATATATTATAATACATTTCATCACACACAACTAAAACCTCGCAAATTAAAACTTCAAACATCTTTTCAAAACAAAAGAAAACACAACCCACTAAGGCATCAAAATCAAATTTTCCAAATTAGTGCACTAAAACAAATTTTATTAGGGTTTGAAACAATTAGCAATTGAATCATGACTTGAGAGAAGCACTTACCAAGGTTATTATCCAAGTCTTCCTTAATGTTTGATAATGTAGTATAATTTGAATTCTCTTTTACACATTTATTTTCTATGTTGATTTTGTCATTGTCAACTTCATTCTTATACCTCATTATATTAAGTCCATTTGGAATCAATGTTTTATTGTTCAACTTAATAGGCTCAATAGTATCCATTGAAATGTGGGTTTTGTTTTCAAATGGTATAAGATTTGAAGTTTGTCTACGACCAACAATGTTAGACCTTTTTCTATTGCTTGTGCCCAAAGATGGGTTATATTTTCCAAGACATAAGCTTGCATCAATGTTGTTTTTGGTTGGAAGCTTGAATTGTTCTCCAAAAGCAACATCGTCTATTTTATAATTTGGACAATCAATGGTGGCTCCATCAGGCAACATTGCCAATATAGCCATTGTATCAAAGTCATCTTCCTTCAATATACATACAAGAAAATTATAGATAAACAATCAAACAAAAATCAAAATATATTGTAATCATAATAATCATAATTAAATCACAAATTGTTCACCACTTAGCACATACCTTTATTTCTTTTCTGGTCTCATTGCTTATCACGTTTTCTTCAAAAAGCCCTTTCATTACTTATTTGTTGTTGTTTGATGGAAAATTGAGTTGGCAATGCTTCTACAAGAGCTGGATATTGAAATATTTGAAGGCTTTTTTTTTATCAAGAACTCTTCATAAAAAATATATTGAATTGGAGCAATTTATGAGTCACTAATTAAAAATCAGATGACATTTGTCCTTTAATGCATTATGTGTACTTCAATGAGCTGATTTTAGCAAGTCAAAGGCAATTCAAAGCAAGATTGGGGGGAGTCAGTTGCATATAATGAAGATAAAATCAGACACATTATATTTAGCAGCAACTCCACTTAATTGACATGGCAATCCATAAAATATATATATATATATATATATATATATATACCTCTATTTTTGTACATTAAACATAAGTTTTAGAATTATCACCAATTTGGAGTAATGAATAAGTTTTGAAAATATAGTTGAAAAAGTATTATTCAATATGCATTCACATATTCATGTTGGGCTTTTCTATTTTAAAATTGTTTTGGTTTTTTTATTATTTGTTTGTTGATGTAATTATTGTAACATTATTTTTCAAAGGAAAACATCAAAAGTTATCTGAGAAAATACTCACAGTATTATTTAGTACAAAAATGGTATAAGCATACGTAGAATTAGTTTTGTACTCATATTTATTATAAAAATAAAATTTCTATATGTATATTTTAGTAATTTTTTTAAAAATACATTCAGGATTTTGGATAAAAATGAAATTTCTCAAAAGCTATACATATATTGTATATTGTAAAAATATACAAGTATATGATATCTACGATTTTTGTGTGACAAGAAAATTGTGCAGATTACTTTCTAAATAAATTTGCAACTTATATAACTTGTGAGTAAATAAAATAATAAAATTTAAATCAATTGCAACTTATAAAAACATGATCATATGAAATGAGCTGAACAAAATTAATGTATGCAACAGTCTCATGAGGAAATCATAGCTACATATGATATAACATCAGTATGGTATAAGTATTTAGTATTTCGAGGTAAATTCAATTTTCTAAATATGATAATCTATTTTTAAGTTAGGTAATTTGAAAGCACTAATGAACAAATCTTATGGTTTTGGTCCAAGAAGTGTTTCTAAATCTTGTGTGTTTCAAAATAGGATCATTTAGAGTTCAGGATTTGGCAGTTTCAACATTAAATAAAGGCAGTGGATGTGTTGCATGAATTTGAGTAATATTACTTCTTTTTTTTAATGGTTCTTACTTTGGTTTTAGACAAGTCTTTTTAATGGATAATTTTTTTCATTTGATTGTGATCATGCAAAAGCTTTATCTCACTCCTTACTACAAAACTCTTAGTCGCAAATGGTACCTACTGTAAATTTGCAGCAAGTATCCCATATGTGATACTTGCTACTACCTTGTAAAATCATGAATGCTTTGATGCTATTCAAGCAATACATGCAGAGTTCTGCGGGTGTGGTATGAGCATTACCTTACAAGACTACTTAGCTTGTAGTAGCTACTACGTCTTTCAGAATTAGCAGGATAGGATTTTAACAATCTCTTGAACATCTGTAATTAGCATCATACTATGTGTAATGGATTATATACATCAAACTGATCTGCTCTGGCAACACCTAAGCTAAATTCATCTACATTATAGTGCACTTTTCCTTCTTAGCAGGCTCTGGTTTTGGCATAATTGGTTGGCCCCTGGATGGTCCCTGCATGTTGATGTCCATAGTTTAATCAGTCTGCCCTGAATCAAAAAGTGGTGAAAGGACTTCCTTTTGAGCAGTGGTGACAGAACAATGAAGCCAGAGAACCAAAAGAGGATGTAGAATCCTTCTCTACCATTCAGAAGAGCCTTCCACAAAGAAAGTTAATGAGTGGTCAAGTCTTACCACTGGGCGGGTGTAAGGTGAGGGCTGTGGAGAGGCTGGTACAGGGCCAGATGATGACTGTACAGGCATCTGAGGAGAATTCTGTGGTGAATGTTGATATTGCTGTTGTTGCCGATCTAACTCTTGCTGAAGCGCCCAAGCCAGCTCTAGGTCGGAAGCACATTGTGAATCCAAGCTGCATAACACAAACATTTTAAAAAACAATTGTCGAGATCCAATACATACAAGTGAAAACATGGACTAGGCAAATCTAAACCATGTACAACCATCGACAAAATGTGTTAAAACAAAAAGACGGTCACTACAGAGGGTTTCATTGGCAACGACAAACATTGTAAAAGACAGAGAGGCTGGGAATAACATATACAATATTCTTACTCTTGCTCAGGTCCGCTATGAGTAGACTTGAAATCCTGAACGCCCTAACCAATGCCAAACATTCAAAAAAGCCATCATAAGTTCTACATAAAATTAAACAATTGAAGAATGCTTAAAATGCGAGTTACAAACTTTGAGGAACTACTCCAGTCAAAGTCAACAGAAAATATAACCCCCCTTGTGTTACAAATAAATTAATAAACAAAGTTATCCTACAAAATGGCGAACTCCGGGGCTAGGTATACCCCATATGGTTGCTAGGGAATATGAAACGTACTGATGGTTCATTGGGGGTGGGTTCCATGTTCCATGAGCCATTATTGTGTTCCTCCGCAGTGAAAGGCGTAAAGTCTCCTTTGAGGAAGGTCGTGTCACCGTCAACCTTCCACAACAAAGGGACCAACACGAGCACTTCAACTTAAGAAAAATGGTCCAAGTGAGTGTTTCGAGGTTGGCAGGGTCAAAGAGATCATCAAAAGACCGTAAAAAGACTGATGGCAATACTTTGATAATATTACACGGCCAACAGTTCAACAGCTTGTAAGAAAACCACCAGCTCATTAAGAGATCAGTAATTAAAACAATCAGAATGAGATCGAAAGAGAAACACAGAAATCTCAATGTACGCAACAATATTGTCATGTAAGTATACATGATAAGCTACGCCATTGGTTAAGAGCATTCGAGCCACATACCGAGTCCAATTGTTCCCAAACCACAGGATGGTGTAAATACCCTTGGTCACTTGCAAGAAGAAGTAACTTACCACCACGCTGCACAAAATGTACCAGATAAAACTCAACTCCACATTTGACAGGATAAATAAATAAATAAATAAATAAATAAATAATAAATAAGATAACTTCCCAGCACAAGAGCAACCGTAGGTCGTAACTACTGATAACACATTCTCTGCAAGTGTTTACAGTCGAAACGATTTTAAAATCAAACTCTTCATAACTGTTAAGTGGAAGGTTCATGATTTATTTACATCTCGCATCCACTAAGAGATTCTGACCGAAAAAGAAAGGGAGGGCTCTGCAACTACCCAACGTTACTACACCTATTCTCACTCGCACTCTTTTCTCGCAAAAACGCGAACAAACATGCTAATGTACTCTCAGATTCAAAACATGAACCTTGAACAAACCTCAAAGCTTTGAACACTTAACTCAAAGACAGACTAGCGGCCCAAAAAACAGCGAGTATTCCCACTATCTTACAGAACATGGCACTCCTGTCATGAAAACTGCGTACCTTGAAAAGAGTGCTGAAGTGGTTGTTTCGAAAAAATACACATAACTCAAGCTCCTTCAGATTTTCAACCAAGCTAAACAGTCTGATATTTCAAGTGCACGGGACTGGTCATGCTCAAGGTCAAGGTCAAGGTCAAGGTCAAGGTTTCATAAACCTCACACGTGGGACGTTAAAGAAGTCGGGCAACAATTACTGGCACAGTCAAATAGAAAATCCAGCAAACCTAAATGTAGTAAGAGTTTGGACCTTAACAATCTGCCCATACATCCTAAGCACAAACGATGACTTTGCATTCACTTAACTTTCCCCCTAGATTGCAAAATCCAACAGTGAGAAAATCCTAACTAATCATAGCAAGCCAACGTTTCTACCCCTGAAGAACTATCAAGGTACAAACATTTCAATGATTCAAGGCTTACCCACAGATTGTCAATTGACTTGCATTGTCCTCCAAGAAACGCCGAATTATGTTACCTGCACAGATCAATCGCTCGAAACAATAACGACGTGATACAAAAGATAACCTACTAGGTGAAGCATGAAATGACCTTCCATTGAAATATGCACTGTAGCTGTCATTTATTCAAACTAACCTTCCCGATCAGAAATATTGAGTATCGTATTATGTGAGCCCGAGTCGCCTTTCCTTGCATGTAGCTGCTCAAAATCAGATTCACTTTCACTGGCTTGCCCGGCCAAAATTACTTCGCCTTCGTACAAAGGTTCAGTGTCACCTTGATTGGAACCACCTAGATTTGCAAAGTCATCTTCTCCCTCATAAAGAGGTTCTTCATCTTCAAATCCAGGTCCAAAATTGAGCACATGTGTATGTTGCTGTCCAGCTACAGTGGGTGCTACAACAGTCTCCTCAACTTTGTCTGAGGTTCCTTCTAGATTGAAATCTCTTGGCTCAGTCCTGCCAAACTTCGGGGAGCCTACCTGCTCGTCAGATATATTTAAATCTAGGTCTGTTGTCTTTGAGGCTGAATGATTCAGATCAGGTTCCAAACGCTTGTGAACATCAAGGCCTAAATCTTTTGATGATGTGTCATCTTCATTTGTAAAGATGTCCTCGCCAACATCCAGTAGATTAACGGGCCGATCCACATCATCACCCAAATCGAATATAGAGGAGCTGCTACTTAGCTCTGAAGTGATTATGTATCTCTCCTCAACGACCTCCTCTTTCAGGAAACCTTGATCACTGACATCGGTTGAAGAGTGACTCTTAATATCCGTGGACACGCCTGGTTCGTGCATCACAGAGTTCTCCTCTCGAGCTCCAATCTCGGCTACTTCCTCTGGCATGTCGAGCTCTTCCAAAGGAGTTATCAGGTGTCCACTGGAGCCAACGGACGTCCCAGATGACAAACTGAAGTTGCCATTATCGCTTAGATGTCCATCCAAGTCACCTTTCGCGGGGTCAATCTCATCTGCAGAACTAGCTACTACATTCTGGGAATCCTCAATCTGAGAAAGTTGCAAAGCCTGCACACAAAAGTCGAACAAAACTCTTTCCTGTATTTAACTGGAAGAAAAGAAAAAAACTTTGGTAGATGTTTTACAAATACGTTAACTTGAACTTGCTAACCTCTAAACTTGTAAATAATTGAAAGTCTTGCACAGATATTGCTCAGATTTGAAACTCAACGTAGTCGTAATATCGGAAGTGAAAGTACTCATTAGCTAGGGGATACAAAAGTACCCAAATTGAGCGTTCATACCAGCATTAACATGGCAGCTTCTTGACTATCGCCCTTCCTCTGCCGATCAAAAGGTAATTGATTCGTTTCTTCTTGATTCAGCTCATTTGTAACATCTTCAAAAGATGTTTCGCTAGACCACAATTCCTTGGGTAAAGGTTTGGGCACCCCCAAGGTGGCAGTAGTTGCTGCAGCAAAATCAACCGTTGGCTCCTCTAATAAAAGCTCACGGGACCCTGCTATCCTGCTAGCTTGAAGTGCAACCAACTTTTCCTGAAGCGTGTTGTAGGAGTCTGACCCAATTACTACGCTAGTCTCCTTATCCTGAAAGGAAGGCATCACTACATGATTTTATTATCTTCATCTATACAATGAGTTTGAGAATGCTTTTCTCGTATCAAAAATGAACAAATTAACATTACACTACAGCATACAAGACTGAATAAATCACTCAATCACGACCAAAAAGCTGATCGAGTATTTGAATTCAATCACAAGATAATAATTCTTGTAGTAACCTTACCTGGGGATCGAAAAGCCATCCGTGCACAAGGCTGATGTCAAAAAGATCAAAAATTGCGCATTCTGGCGTAAACTCGAAGTCATGTATACTGCAGATTCAGGAGCGGACCCAGTTAGAACCAACTATACGTCCTAGATTCTGAAATGTAATTTACAAGATTACGTTTTATTTTTTACTTTTTTCCCGAACAATATGTAGTAGAAAGTGCATTTCGAATGCCGCATAAACTCTGAATGCTCTGTACTTAACACTTGCCACTTGCATTACTGCTCAGAGTGTCTGAGTGAACGATGAACTGAAGGAGAAACATCGATACTGGTGAGGGGGGAGTGATAACCTAGATTCCAGGCACATGAAATTGACATTATACCTAGCACTAAAAATCTTGCCCCCTAGAAACATACAATCATTTACATCCGCTTAAATATTCAATAAATAAGAGCAAAAATGTCCAATAAAATGAAACTGTAAAATTCAGTATTTACGGGCATTGACCAGCAACTCTAAACACAGCAGCCACAAGAAGTTACTTACTGTCTGAACCGAAGGTTTACATCAATGCCAGTACGCAAGCGAGGAAGTAGCGGCATAGCATCATCGATATTTTTCTGCAAATTGCGCTCGTAGTCCATACTTTTTTCCTGACAATAGACGCAGCAATAAACCAACAATTTTAAATTTACTTGATATAAATAAACAAGTTAACGAAGAAATAGATTTAGTATCAATCACTTGACAAAAGATTGAACGAAGCCAGGAAATGTGGATGAAAAATCAACGCAGCTGCATCCTCAGCAAGATGGCATCTAGCACAAGGAGCAGCTCGCAAACAACTCACGTGATTGAAATGTCGAAGTCGTTACAGAGAGACGAAGTATCAAATAATGAAAGAGTAGATTACCCCATTTAAGACATTGGTATCAATGAGCCTCTCTGCAATTAGAGACAATAACTTTGATGAAGATACTTCAGTGATATCTATGCCCAAACTGACATCGTTTCGCAGCAAAAGAACATTGCCTGCAAACAAATAGAAAAAGAACGAAACATCACGTCACATTCTGATGAACTAACGCGAAAAATTACAACACACACATGCACTTACTGGAGTGGGTCAGTACTTACAAATAGCTAGTAGTGGGCACGGGCCATTATCGTTCTGGAGCACAATCGGCACTGACCGACCCAGAAACGGAACAACCTTAACCTTGTATAGCGGCCCTGTTTCATCCATGTCCTCATCCTGACGAGCCATTTCCACAACCTTGAGAACAGATTATAAAGCTGGAGTACTCAAAACCTCATACTGCTTTCAACATCTCCACCAAAGCTGCCATTCCCACAACAGGTTAAATTAGAAAATAATTCCCAAGCAACCCCCAATATTCTATTTCATACAGAAGACAATGCTATTAACGACACCCTCCCGATTGCTCCAAGGGGGGTTTATTCATGACGTGGTCATAAATGGAGTAACGGAACATGAACCCCTGAAAAACTAATAAAAGCAAAGCAATGCGTTACCAGCTTAAAACTAATTCACACTTGATTTACAGAGCTGTCTCTGGAAAACAAAATGCACATCATCATTCAAAAGATGATAGGTCAACACCATTTCTATCTAAACCAGTAAAGAATCGCCACAAGAAGATGGCGAAATGTAGCTAAATAATAATAATGATAATAAAAAGAATAATAATAAAATGGAGTAAAATAAGAAGTTTTAAAAAATCGTGGATAAAGGGGAAAGACAACAAAGAATAAGATAGTCTACATGTGGTCCCCACCCCTCCAGAACTGAATTCTATCACAATATTATCCTCTACAAGCTCAAAATCAGTGCGCCTCAACATCGCGTGACCATCATACCAATATGATGCACTGAAATGGCTCAACCTTGCAGCACTACCTACGATTAATACTTCTCATAGTAGAGTAACATACAACAAGCAGTGAAGTAATAAATTCCACTCATACTCTGTCAAATCAATGGCATCTAGCGCAAAACCTTCAGAAATTTTCAGTGTTGTATCCAAACTCCTTATACCCATCTCCTCTTCATACCCGTACAGAGAAGCATATAAAGAGCAGACATGCAGCGTTTTACACGGACATATAGCTCTTGCAAAGAAATGAAGAAGACACCAAAACATCACAAAACAAGTCGAGGGAACCAAGCGTACCTCAGAGAACAATTCAATGCCCAAGGGTGCTTCTCATCCTCTACGACGCCCATCAACCTAGCCGAAAAAACCCAAGAAGATGATAGTCACCCTCCCAACTACTGTACACGTGATAACAACAATCGGAACGAATTGGCTCCAAAACAATGGACACTCGATTCCGAACCGACAACGCGAATCCCGCACTTAACAATCGCACGGGGCCCCGGGGTGCTCCCCAAACCTCTGAACCCGATCCCACGAAGGCCAACGCCGACCTGTCGTACACCTCCCCGAAAACAGTGAGATGAATGCTGCAATTGACGGCATTCACACGCCGCTTGAGAACGAGAACAACGACGGCGACGATGGCGACGCCTTCGGCAGCAAGCTTTCCGAGGGCTTTGCAACAATGAAATGACCAACCAGACTAGCTCCTGAGCAAGCAATCCCCTGCTGCTGCTCGCTTCTGGGGAATGTGGCGAAAACCCAAAAAGACCCAAAAAAAGAATCGGGAACATGAAAAAAACCCAAGAAAAGAAGACGAATCCGGACAAAGGTGCGAGAGCGCACCTGGTGGTGGAAACCCTAAAGCGGAGGGAAACTCATACGGAAAAGGCAATTTGAGTTTTATATGGTAGAGAGCTGGTCTTCTTCGCATCGTCGTCGCCACCACTACCATCGCCACCCTCACCAAAGCTGGGTGCCTCCCGAAACTGCGATTTTATGGCCCAATTTCATGAAGCTTGCTTTAGGATGTGAGGGAAAAGCAAACCCACAAACAAAAAAGTAAATAAAAATAAACAAAAATAAAAAACTATTCAAACTTCGTGAAAAAGTAGTGGAAAAGTTGGGGCAAGACACTTAATTGTAAACCCACTTCAAGCGCCTTCTCTTTCAAGTATTTTTTATTATTGTAATTTTTCTACATATACATAATTATATATAAATATATATATATATATATATATATGTATTTTGTAATGTTTAGAAAGTGATGTGAGAAGTTGGATATTCTGAAATGAAATGTTGCAATGAATTGGTTTTTAACTAAAATGAAAGATAACTAATAGATTTGGTGTTGATAATAAGTTTGTATACTTATGACAATAACACATGATTTGGTTGATTGATTTATAAAGATTTTTTAAAAAATTACTATTGCACAGTGTTTTTCACATGTGTTGATCCACAGAAAAAAAAGAAATTCCATAAATTTGGTGATTTTTACACAGTTATCATAATGTCTTGAGATTGCTTTTCATTTATGTATGTATGAGTGTACATATGTGTATTTATTACACTTTAAAATTCTTAAAATGTTATATTCCTAATTTGTAAAATAATTTTAATTATTGTACACTGAAATAAAACTTAACATAAAACTTAACATAGTACTTTTGATTTGTCTTTAATTCATTCAAATAATGCTGAGAATTGAGATTTAAGTTTGAAATTTGATAAAGATGTTTCTGAATGAATATAAAAATCTAAAACTTGTAACAATAAGAAAAAATTGTGTTCGCATTGTTAAAAATCTAACTATAAAGTCAACTTTGTTTTGTCCAATATCATAACATTGCTTTAATGAATAATAAGATTCATTATTTGTTTCATAGAAAAGTCAATAGTGTTGTAATATGTAGTTTTTATCACCCATAGTATGTATTCTTCTGATGAGAGTAGTTTTTGTGTAAATTTTTATTTTTTGTTTTAGATTATGGTATAATAACTCTTATGCAATAAAGTAGGTTAATTTTCATATCAAGTCTTCTATAAACTAATATTATTACTAGACTTTCATTCAAACAAGCCAATTTTGAAAGGATATTGAGACACTGTTATTTTATTTTGTAATCAATTTATGGTATTTATCAGGTAAAATTTTCAACTTTATTTCTTATGTTTTATTTGCTTCTTGGTTATGTCTAATATACCCAAATAGAAATCTGAATCATTTTTTTATTTTGCATATTGTATGCAATAGTGTCAAATTTAAATGCATTTATAAAAACACACAATTTTATAGTATTTTTGTTGCTACAATTTACACATCCACCTCTGCGTGGTAGCACTCAATGCCTTCATCAATATTTACATTTCTTTAACATAGATCAATCAATTATTTATATATCATTTCCAATTAATAAATATATCCATGTTTTCTTTCCATCGTAGTTCCATTATTTTATTAAATTTATCTTCTTTTTCCTTTCACACACCAACTTTTATTAATGTAATTTACTTTTAAATTTACACATTGTTTCATTTACTTTTATAATGATGAAATTAATTGTCTGTATTCTACTAAAGAAATTACTATTAACTAGGATTTAAAATATAAATTTAATTGCGGATGCATTTTGATTTTCCATTTTGAAATTTTATTTCTAACTAATAATATCTTTAGAATAATTATTAAGTTGAAATTATTCTTTTAAACTTGAATACAATCTTAAATGTAAGGTATTTTTTGTTGTAAAGTTTTATTTTTATTTTTTTTATATTGACAACTTTATTTTAAATTAATATCATATCTAATTTCCATTGTAGTTTTTAAATGAAAAAAAAAAAAAAAATGCACAATAATTTAAAATAATATTTTAGTGGTGTAATTGTCTTTCATACTGTGCATTCCTTTGCCTTGTCTTAGTATGGTCTTTGTTCTCTTGACTGAAATCAAGTTCTTTTTCGCAATTTCTAAAGTTTCAATAGTAAAGAATAAAATAGATCTGCTATATATGATTTTCACTAAATAATTATTTTTTAAATATATTTTTAAGTTAAAACTAATTTCTTAAAATCTCTTTAGATCATTTTTTGTTTGATTTATTTAGTTGTAAAAAATAATTTTTAATGGTTGTTTCTTTCCAAATGATTGTTTTTCAAATTTGAATCTACATGGCACACAATAATTTTATATAATTTTCAAATTTCCAAACTCAATGCATTTATAACAACATTATTATTATTATTATTATTATCAATCTAAGGATAATCATTTTACCTTCAATTAATAAAATATTAAGACTTTTTAATATTTTGGTTGATAGTTAAGATGTTTCAAAATCAAGTTAATAAAAAATACTTGGTTTTATATATGTGAAAATTCAATTGCTATGTCTTGTAAAAGTGAGTTATAATAAATAATAAATTCACAAAAAAAAAATATTGATGTTTTTTGAATCTATTACATTTGTATAAGATGTATAAATCTTTAAACAACAATATTTTCAAATCAAAATATTCTTTTTAGCATTCTTATCTTCTTCAAATGCATTTAAAAAGTTAAAGTAATATAAAGATAGAAGTATCAATTAAACAAATTAAATACCTTTCAAAGATTTTGAATATTATTTTGTATTCTTTGTTCATGCTATCATTTAGAAGATTAAATCCTAATTTAAAATTAAAAATACTAAAAAATTACAGTAATTTTGAGGCTAAAGAATATTTTTAGTTTTATTTTATTTTTAGTTTTGTTTAATTATTCAATTGTCTTTACTTTCTTCATTACGAAAATGCTGCCATTATTTGTGATAACATGCCCCACTATAAATATATATATATATATATATATATATATATAATGCAGAATAAATAATAAAATTGGTTTACTACAAACTTACACTTTTTTCTAGGTAAAAGAATTCATAAAACCTTAAACTAAGAGTGAATGTATGTTTTGGATAACAAATCTATTCTTGAAGATGACTAGACATGAGGTTTAATTTTAAACATTATTCTAAAAAGAAAACCTCACACAATCCCACCTCTATTACCACTACAATCAATATTGTTTAAACCCCACTTCACCCCCTCGACAAGAACAAAATAATAAAAATAAACAAAATAAACAAAATAGGGTTTCTTGAGTAGATACGGGAATTGCGGCATGAGGTGACCACACATCTGACTGCAACCCGATTCACACGCGCAACCCCAAAACCACAGCGAGGTCGCGATCCTTTCGGGGATGTCCCCAAAGTTTAGGGACGTGGATCTGGACGGCCTCGTATTCGTAGCGCCGGTGTGAACGCGCGCCGTGGCCGCGCTCGCGGTGCATGATGGACCCCGTTTTGCCGACTGATTTCTTCCGAGGTCGCGGTTGACGTCAACGTTGTTGAATTTGTGTTGTTGTTGATGGTGGTGCTGCTGTCTTCACAACTGACAACAATGGGATCTTCTCTCGCTGTTACGATGCCGCATTTCTGAGGGTTGGGTGTGCACATTGCACGCAGGCGCTGTCGCCATGGCCGGCCTCGCCCTGGCTTTAGCCGCCGACTTGCCGGCGATCGCCTCCAAATCCAGCTTACATTCTTTCTCCACCATCAGTGCACTCGCGGCCACTGCCGCTGCCTCCTCTACTGTCTCATTTCTGGGTCCCCCACTGTTCGCGCACTTCATTGCTAGGTGGGCACCTGCTGCGCGAGATACGCCCTTGGACTGCATCAGTTCGGTTTGGGATTGGCCCGCTGCGAAAGATCGGTTCATTAGTGAAATTGCGTCACTGTGGAATCGAAACAATCCCTTTCTCGGATCTTTTGTCCCTAGGGTTCCGTTGTGTCTCCGTAGTTGCAGGTTTTTTGGAAGTCCACGCCTGGTAGATCATTGGTGCCCAGGGCGAGGTCTTCGGTAGGTTGTCGTAGTTGGTCAGATTTGGATGTCACGAGTTTTGAGGAACCAGAAGTGTTGGGGACCACGGACGATCAGCTCTCGGCTGAAGTGTGGGGATGTGCTGTCCGTAGCTTTTCATACTGGGACATTATATGCATCGATTACGGTTGTTCAGCCTGAAGATTTGTTTCGCTGCTAGGATTTGAGGTTTACGCACTCGATCACGTTTAAACAGATGCCCTGGTTTTTAAAACGATCACGTTTGTCCTCTTTTCTTCGTCATGGTGCATGTATGTACGTTCGCAGCACGATGGTCCCGAGGTCCTGAAATAGAAGGTGGTCATAGCCATTAGATTCGATTGCGATCTGGGTTAAAATATGTGCGAATCTTCTTTGGGTATGTAGTTTTATCTCAGGCCTGTAAGTAACACTTTGCGAAGCACAATAACCTTTTCAAATGGATGAAACTCGTATCACATTCAATTCTTTCGTGTACACATGTGCTCGTGAGATTTTCGAGTTGCGAGGAAGGTCATCTGCACTGCGATCTGATAATCTGATTATTACCGTGTTAGCATCCAGAGGTGTCTGGTGTCGGAAGACTTTCTTGCTGAGATTTCTGCAGTACTTGAATTCTGGAGTTGTTTTGTACTCTTTTCAGCCTGGTGCTACTGTCTACCCAGTTGTGGGACCATTGTTTTCTAACCATTTTGGCGTTTGGCGTTTGGCGTTTGTAGGGACTGGACCGAGCACGTTGCCTACTGTCATGCGACAATTGCAGATGCAGACAACTGGGAAGATAGTGTGTCTGTGCCAATTCAGAGATACGAAGCTGAAAAGAAGTACGACATTGAGTTGAAGCCTCTTTTTTCTGCCTTTAGACCTAGGGCAATTGGAGCAACAACAATCAGAGCTCTCCTTGTTAATTACCTCCCTTTGCTCGAGGCTTATTTGCAACCCGAGGATGACGATCTCGAGGAAGATCGTGATCGTCCTCCGCGACCTCCGATAGATCCAGTTGTCCCGCTGAAGCGATCAGTTACACACATATTGCGCGAGGTACATCTTCTTCTTTCATCAGTAATTGGAGTATCCAATTGCAACTCATTCTGCTCTCGACCCTGTGGTTTCATGACTGTGGCTATCGAAATGTATTCTCTTGTGCTGATAGATGCAAGTTCGGTAAAGGGCTGTCGCACTTGGCTACTCTATTTGGGATGAAACACTCAATTTCAAACGTAGCAGGTAAGGGTGCTCCTGCGCCACATTCATGTTTGATGCGGAGGTGCGTGTGTTCTTATTCCGAAATGGGGTACTTTTGCTGTGGGTTTAAATGTTTTTTTTTTTGCTTTGTCCATCTTAGGTTTCTGTCATCACTACAAGACGAGTACTGGAGAGGATAGCCGTTCATCATGTTACTGATCGTATGGCATGTAAACTTCTTAAAGGTGATTCTTCGCAATTTGTGTCTAAGTATTTGCATACTTATCTCGGTTCTCGACAGTCTTAATGTTCTATGTCAATGGATTTTGCCAGTTGTGAAGAGCTTTTCCTCGTCGCCATGTGTTGATGCCTGTCCCATGGTTACGAGTTCGCTCTCGGACTGGGCTAGTGATCCTCGATGACTCATTAGCTATCGGGGTCGGGCCGCATCACTAATGAGTTGGATAACTTGCAGATATTTCGAAGTCTGCAATTCGCAAAGCGGGGAGGGACCTATCTCCTGTAGAGATGTTCACAGCTGTGAGCAAAACAACTTTTCGAGGTGCGTGTTAGTTGTGTCAAATCAAGCTTCACTTTTGCTATTTGTGGCAACAAACTAGTGGGACTCCCTGTCATGTGTTCAATTTTTTTGTATTTAATGCACCCGCTCTGGTGTGGTGCGATGGTTTTGATCCTTGTGTAAATACCTGCTGGCTGCAGCTCATGCATTAGGAGTATTCGCAAATTGGATGGTGCAATTGATGATTGATTCCTATAGAAGTGTACGGATATCTTTCATGGTGCGATCGAAAAAGGGAAAACCAATGGGACTGGAAATAGTAGAGTTGAAACGACTAGCGCGTAGGACAGCAGGAAACACACTCAAGGGTGGTGCTTCTCTTGTCTTTGCATCGATTGGTGCTGGCCTTGGTACGATCCTCATCAGGCCCTCCACTGGAACCTGGATCGGTAATTCTCCTTAACAAATCACCTGTCATGTGCTCTATTTGGGTTTTTGGGCTACGTGCTCTGATGACACCAGTCTTGTGGTTTGAATGTGCTGATGGGGTTTGACTCTGCACGCAGGCTGCGCCGCTGGTGATTTTGCGGGGCCTTTTTTGGTAGGACTTTGGTTGGACACTTGGATTGTGTATGACAGCTCTCCTCCCGGATCAGATTAAAGTCAGTGAGTGCTCATTGTGATCATTCAATGCACAGCAGTAGCTGGAATGTTCGTCTCCAGTAGCTCACCATTTTAGAATAACATTTATCTGAGGGAGTCCTCGGAACTTTCAAGGTCAGTTTGTATTCCGGTTTGTCAGATGCATGAAGATGATAGGAGTGAAAAACAGGTGGTATCAAACATTGGATTGGTGATTTTATTCTTTTGTATCATTGCTACTTGTATTGAAAACCAGGAAGCTTGGTTTGGGTTTCAGTTCATATTTTTTCTTTTTTTTCTTTTTTTGTCTGAGTCTATACATTGAGGTCATGATAACCGTTGTACTCATTTTCTAGAAGATCGAATCAGGTGTGGTGATCCTGAGTGGTATGTTGCTCTATGGTTCTAATGTGTTTGGCAATTATTTTCTTTAGTTGATGTAAGGTGATGACCAGGCTGCACCGTGGTTTGAAGGCTGAGTTCTTGCAAATTTCTCCAGTGGTAAGTAATGTATAGATTAGTTAGTTGTTATGGCATGTCTTGAACTACGCCGTTGAATGTTATTCAACATGCTTGGTGAATAGAAAACTTCACTCAGTAGTAGAATTTGCTGATCAACTAGTTTGTTGGAACGTTCTCCTGGTGTAGCATTGGGGGTGTATGTCGGTGGCTCCTTCAAGCCTTACTCATGCCTTCAAATAACCTCAACATATCATGTTTCTTTGTATGTTAAGAACTGACCTAAATCATTTATTTATGCATTTAGTTCTTTCCGTTGTTCTTATATGTATGCTTAGACACACACAACTTTTTTTAATTATGCATTCTCCAAGTCCATCTTTTATTTATTTAATTGCTTGTATGTATAACAGTATTTGTATTTTAGTGTTTTTGTGTAGATTTTGAAATCTTTCTACCTAATTTTTTAGAAAGGTCTGACAAGACATTATCTTTTGTGAGAAATCTATATAGTTCTTAGTCCAGCCACGTTTAGTAATTTTTCACTTTTGTATGATGTTTTTAGATTTTCATTTGGAATAAAACGTGGAGATGCTATTGAGTTCTTTTCTATTATTTTTAAATTTTTTATTGACATCTAACAGCATGGTAATTAGTGGGCAAATTAAAAATCCTTTCTCATGATGCTTTAGCAAAGTGACGATTAAAAATAAACATATAATAAAAAGAGAATTGCCAAGTAGACATCTTCGTAAAAGATTTCTCAAATTAAATTAATAAAAGAACTAAAAAAATTGCATTATGAAATGTAATTAACAATAATTAATAAAAATAGAAAATAATAGTATTATAAGCTATTGTATATAGGTCATTTTCTTATAGTTTATTTTTAAATTTTTTTAGTATAAATAAGAATTATTTTATATATGTATTAGATAAACTTGTGTTGTTGTCATTGAAAGTGATTCAAATAAAGCTATTTTTGAAAGATATCTTTGTGAGTCAAAATATTTTTTAAATACAAATATAATATAATATAATATACATGGAAAGAAATAAAATTTACATTAGAATTTTCAGCTATGAAGTAGGATAGGTAACTTTATGCCATTGTAATAGATAATATGCAAAAAAAAGTAATTAATTTTGTAAAACCTATATCATTGGTCACGTTTTTATATTGATTTTAATATAATAGGCTAGTTTTCCATGTGTTTTGTACTTTTTGGTGTTGTCAAGGATATATACTGGGAAGTTGTAGAAGATTCTAAGAGGTTTTAGAGAAGCTTTGTAGTTTGTAGAAGCTACTTGAGAAGTTTTTAAGCTCATGGAAGCTGCTTGAGAAGCTTCTTAACTCGTAGAAGCTGCTTGAAAAGCTTCTTAATTTGTAGAAGCTACTTGAGAAGCTTCCTAGCTTATAGTATATATAGGAGCCGAGATTGAGGGGATCCTCAGTCTTGACAACACACCTCTTGGAGTTCTAGCTCACCTTCCTAATGTTGTTCTTGTACTCATCTGATTAATCTAGTTCTTGTCGATTCTTCTTGAACTTCTTGTTTAGATTTTCAATCAGTATTCTAAATTTGTGATAGTTTGTTGAGACTACACTCATCTTTTATATCAGAGCTACTTCTTTCTTGTTAGAGTATGGATTATCCCTCTCTTTGAAGGTACTGGCATTTTAGAGGTTGCGGATTACTTTTCTCTAAACTGATATTTCTTCTATTATAATATTAGAGGCTTATCTTTCTTTGAGAGAGTAAATTATCCCTCTTCTTGAAGGTTTAAGGCGTTTTAGAGGTTGTGGAGTACCTTCATCTAAACCAATACTACCATCTTGTAGAGTCATTTCTTTCCTTTTCTTAGAATGGCCGGAGGTCAAGATATTAGTATGACTAAAAGTTTGGAGTCCAAGTTGGATGCCATTATGAATGCTTTTACTATGTTATCATAGAGAACTATAGAGATTGAAGGAATCATTGCAAGACTTCATAATGATGGAGCATCCGGGATGGCACAATCGAGGATTCACCAATCTTAAGCTCCAACACCAAGAGAAGCAACTTTGCCTCTAGTTCAGCAAGGACTGTTGGTCTTACAACAAAAAAAGCCCCGAATTAACCTTCCAGATAAGTTCGATGATACGCGTTCCAAGTTTTGAGGTTTTGTTAATCAAATTAGATTGATAACAGCTTTACAACTCGAACGCTATCCGATGGAGGAGTCATGTGTTGGACTCGTTGAAACTTTGCTCACGGGACAAGCTCTATCATAATTTGCTCCTTTATTTGAAAAAAGATCGTCAATTTTGAACAACTTTGAAACTTTTTTGGAGGCATTTGCGAAAGCATTTGGTGAACATGACAAGGCACGATGGGCTACGACAAAGATCCGGTCGCTATGACAAGGGGCATGCTTCGCATCAGTCTACACATCAGATTTCAGACAATTAGCGTGCGACATCAACTGAGACGAGGAAGCATTGATGAGGCAATTTTATTGGAACTTAAGAGATGATGTGAAGGATTTGTTATTATCTCTTCCCGATCTACAAATGCTCAAGAAAGCCATTAGCCAAGTTGTGAAGTGCGATAACCACCTATTTCAATGTTGTCAAGATCAACCCTCAAGACAACACACGGCTCATCACACTCCAACTATGTCAGTAAGTAGCCTTCATTCACATTCAGAGGTGGAAGAGATACAAATTGACGTGGTACATGTCAAATCCCTAACTCTAGAAGAAAAAAAGTGACGTATGGAGGAAGGACTATGCTTATATTGCGGTGAAGAAGGCCATAGAATTGGAAACTCTCCCAAGAAGCAAAATTGACACATTGTCATGACCAGAGGCATGTTTGTTCAGGAAAACAAAGATGCCCAGCCACAATACGGACCGTTGTCGTAATATGTAAAGTCTTGCTTGAGAATGCTCCGGGTACCTGGCTATAGGAGGTTGAATGGAAATTGCAATAACAAACTCCTAATTCTAATAGATTACTAATAATGCTGTGATTAGATCATAATAATGGTAAGCAAGCTTAATCAAATTCAAAAAAACTTCAAAGAAATTTCAAACAAACAATAAGAATTCTTAAAGAAATATTAGAATGATCACAAATATCACTCAAATACATCTCAATTTAATCTTAATTTAATTCTAATTAAAATCCTATTGAACTTCATTCAAACTTTAGGCCAAAACTAATTGAATCTTAAATCCTAATAAAATCCTAAACCCTAAATCAAACCCTAAAAAAACCTTAAACCAAATCCCAACCAAATCCTAAACCAAATCCTAAACCCTAAATCAAACCCTCACTAAATCCTAAACTCTAAATCAAATCCTAACCAAATTCTAAATATCCTAATCAAATCCTTACCAAATTCAAGGAGTATATAGTTGACTAAACTCAAGGAGTATATTCAAGAAAATTCTTAGCAGCAGAAATCAATTATGAGTTCCATGACAAAGAACTTCTTATAATTGTAGATTCTTTTCAAGAATGGTATCATTATCTAGAAGACGCTTCCAGTCCAGTCACCGTGTATACGGATCACAAGAACCTCAAGTATTTTATGTTAGCACATGTATTAAATCATCGTCAAGCTTGTTAGAGCATGTCTTTATTAAGATTCGAGTTCATCATCACTTATCGGCGAGGAAAACAACAAGGTTTGTTCGATGCCTTATCTAGATGTTCTTATCTTGCACCAAAAGAAAGAGATGCAGCTTTTGAGCAACAAAGAACAGTTCTCTTCAAGCCGGAGTAATTTCATCTTCGAGCAATAAAATCAACATTGACTGTTGATTTAACTTTTGTTAAGCAAGTCCAGTTAAGTATGTCTTCAGACCCTCTTGTTCATGATATCAAGAATAATTCTTCTAAATCTCATGATCCATCTAAATTCGAGTTAAAAACAACCTACTCTATTTTGAAGGATGCCTATATGTTCCAAAAGGAGAAGCACGTTTATGTATTCTTCAAGCTCGTCACGACTTCCCAGCAGCAGGACATTTTGGATATAATAAAACTTTGGAGCTGATATCTAGGGATTTTTGGTGGCCACAAATGTGAAAGGCAGTCAAAGATTTTGTACAATCATGTGATGTTTGCTCAAGATCAAAAACTCCTCATCATCGATCTTTTGGACTTCTTCAGCTATTACCCATTCCAGAACAACCATGGTCTTCTGTTTCTATGGACTTCATCACAGATCTTCCAATCTCAGATTCTTATGACTCTATATTCGTAATAGTAGATCGTTTTACCAAGATGGCACATTTTGTACTATGTACAAAATCTATCACAGGTGAAGAAATAGCTAAGCTCTTTCTTGACAATATCTATCGCTATCATAGATTACCCAAGGATATTATATCAGATAGGGGAACTCAATTTGTATCAAGATTTTGGCAGACTCTTTTCAAGATTCTAAAAGTAGATATAAATCTATCTTTGACATTCCATCCTCAAACTGATGGACAAACGAAGCATGCTAATCAAGTTTTGGAGCAATATTTAAGATGTACCATTAATTACCAACAAGATGATTGGACAATTCTTTTGCCATTGGCAGAGTTTGCTTATAATAATACAGTACATTCTTCTACAAAATAAACACCTTTCTTTGCTAATTATGGTTATCATCCACGACTTGATACTTTTGACTTTTCAAAAGTTAATAATCATGTTTCGAAAGATTTTGCGATTCATTTATCAAAGCTACATGCAACGATGAAGGTATAGTTAAAAGAGGCTCAAGAATAACAAAAGGTCAATGCGGATGTCTATCAAAAAGAACAACCACCATTCCTCTTGGGTG